GGTGTTTTTCAACAGATGTTCAATGGCATATTCTTTCTATCTATGGTTGATGCTTAAAGAATTTCAGTGCAAAAGTGCTGTTTCACTCATGAACTACAATGCTACAGCTAAAAAAAAAAAATTAAAAAGGAAAAAAGGGGAAATGACAAGATGAAAGAAGGGCCTTTTTTGCAAATGCAAATACTACAACCTACCTCACATCACTTTGAGGAACAGGCCAAAAATCCGAGTGTGATCAACAGCAATATATGGACATTAGTCCCTTGGACATTTTTTATTTTTTAAAAAATGATGTCTCAGAATTTTTTTTAAAAAAGGAGTGGGACATAAAATCTGCTAGAGATTTGTACTCTAGGAATTCTAGACTTCTTACTCAACCAAAGGGTTACTCTTTCTTGGATCAGCTTTATCCTTTCTCACTTACTTCTCCTTACTCTTACATCACCTCCCTGTACATTTGCAGACTGCCCCTTCCCTTGATATTTTAAAATCTGAATTAAAAACATTCTTGTTTTCTAAAGCATTTAGAACTTTACATTAATGTTGTTTTATAATCCTGTATATTTGATCACATGTATTGGTGTATTTTTTTGTATTCTGCATAGATAATGTGTTCCATAACTGTATTGTATAGTTTTATTTTATACATCTCTGGAAAGAGCATATTTTGTACATCTCTGGAAAGAGTCACTGTGTTTGGTAGTTGCACCTGTAAAGTGCCACGTGAATTGATGGTGCTATATAAATAAATAAATAAATAAATAAACGAATAGGTGCATCTGTTGCTGAGATCTTCCAGCAAATAGCCTAGGATAACAAGAATATCATTTGGATTTTTTTTTATTTTTAATTCTGAAAACTAAAGCTGCAAGTATCAGAATCTCCAGTAACATTTGCCCCATCTGCCTTCTCCCAAAGGCAACTGACAGCATATTGACTGGCAGTTAGGTAGAGCATCTGGAGAAATCTGAAAGTATAACTTTGATAGGGATATTCTAACTTGGAAAGAGGCAAGTATGGTTCTGACCACATTCTTATACTAAAGCAGGGACCAGCAACTTGGGGTCCTCAAGATGTTTTGAGCTACATCTCCCATATGCCCAAGACAACATGCCCAATGCCGTCAGAAATTTGGGAGGCTAAATCCCTAAACATTGGAGAGAGACTAGTTTCCCTGCCCCTAAACTAGAGTATACTGGAAGCCTATGACCATAAATTGAAAGCTACCCCTCTTCCCAAAGTCCCTGAATAATTTATTATAATTAAGGGGATTGTGGTCATAAAACATTTGTTCTTTAAAAAAAATATTGAAATTCAGAGATAGAAAATAGAATTTGTTGTATTTATAGGCTGAGAGGAAAATACTGGACTGGCAAATTCTTTCCAAGGGTGACAGGACCCCACCACTAGGTCATTACTGGACATATTGAACTGGTTCACAGAAGTACAAAAATATAGATTTTTTTTTTGGTGATGCTGCTATTAAAGTGTTAGGTCTGCTGTGTTTTGCTAGCAAGAGACCAAGCACTCTAAACTGACTCAATCAATCACTTCAGACACTCGTTCTCTCACTGAAACAGCTGCGAGTCTGACAATCACACCATCACTGATGGGGCTCATACTGGGACCTTCAGAGAACACAGGAAGCAACACTATACAATGAGACAAAAAGAAATTTCTGACAGCACAGAGGAACTGGTAGGAGTTCCATGAAGCCTGTCTCAGTGAGAAGTCGATGCCATGCAGACACATTATCAGAACTAAAGCTTTTAATAAGCAGCTGCCCTTTTAGTGCAAGTAGCCCCTGGCCCTCTGATACTTCCAGTTTTTATGTTGTATGTTAAAAAATGTCCCCTAGCTTTATTATATTCTTAGAGAGGCAGGTGCTTTCCCTCACATCTAAAGAAAAACAAAACAAAAAAAAGACAGACTGAAAGACATACTGAGAACAAATTATAGGACAGAGGTGGATTTGTTGGGAATGTAAGAATAATTCAAATATTTCACCCTTTCTTTTTTGATGCTACAACACACATAAGCTAGAGGGAGGGCAGAGACTAGTAAATCAGTGGATGGATATCAAATATAGCTTTGCTTAAATGTGTGGATGGTAGAGTGCTAAACAGTGAGGCGAAAGAGCATACTTTCCAGCATTTCATAGATGAAAAGTATGGCACATGTAGTCAAGCAATATCAGAGTGTGGTCAAGATGGCAAAAGTATTATGGGTTATGCTCAATAAATATGAATATTAGACTTTGATGCATAAGATAGGAAAGCTGTCTGTTGCTAGAGTCTGCACAGATTGTTAAGAAAGCATATTGGACAGGTAGGATGGTGGCCTAGACCCTGTCCATCTCAAAAATGTCAAGCCTTATTCTAAAAGAACAAACTGGAAGTTGTACTTCAAATTCCCCCCTCCTACTGACAAGGAAATGGTTTCTTGATTAAAGCAATCAGGGCTTAACTGTCTTGTTTACTTCCACGGAATGGAGACCTGCCAAACTGACTCAGACTGATGCATACACACACACTCACACACTGTGAGATACCCTGCAGCCTTCAGAAAGATTGGGAAACCTATCTGGATTTGAAAGAGGGTAACTATCTATACTGATTGGTTTTGTCCTGTGTACATAACCCTATTGTTCAATCCTGCCCAGACCACTTAAAAGTCATTATCACAACCCAAAGAGCTCATTCACCTCTGCTCTCTGCCAATGTTTTTGGGGGTTTTGAGCAACATTTTGTCCCACTCAGGGGTGTTCCCTTCACTCTTATGAGACTGTTATTTAGAAAGATTTTAAAATACTGAGAGAACCTTTTTCTTCTTGACCTGCTGCCCTTTTCTTGACCTTCTGCTCTCTCTTAAACTTCCTCCCATCCCTTTGAGGCCTGCTTCCCTGCTACAGTCTTCAGTCATCTTCTTCAGCAGAGTGAGAAAATCCAAGTGTAATAGTGCAATTTGAGTCCACTTTAACTGCCCTGGCTCAGTGCTAGGGAATCATGGGAATTGTATTTTTTTCTGAGACATTGAGCTTTCTCTGTCAGAGAGCTCTCGTGCCACAATAAACTACAGTTCCCATGATTCCCTAGCACTGAGTCAGGGCAGTTAAATTGGACTCAAATTGCTCTATTTCTGGCAGTCTGTAAAGGCCCTTATCACTTATGCTTAGCTCTAGTCACCTTCAACTGTTTAGGTTAGGAGAAGGGGTTTTAGCTTCTGCTACTCCCCCCCTTTTTTTTTTTTTACTTTGAGAAACAGCTTGCATTCAGTATAGATTGTTCTGTTGTTTCAGCTGCTATCTTCTTCTGTCTTTATAACAAAGATATATATATATATATATTGCCGCAAAATCTGCCTGTCCCCAGCCTGATTTCTGCTCTTGTACTTCATTCTTACTTGGAGTTACTGTTGTTAACAGTCCATTTTTAAACCTTCAGCCTTTAAGTCTTGCAGAGAGTTAATGCCTGGAAGAGTTCCCCCCCCCAAAAAAACAGTAAAACTAGGGCACTGTTCTTAACAAAAAATATCAATGAGGATAAAGACACATGCTTGGAGAAACTGCAGCAGTTTGCTTTTTCCTGAGCCTACTAGGAAGGCAAAGATTCTGCCTGCCTCTCCTCTCTCTCCTGCTGAATAAATTAAGTGCAAACTACTTTTACACTTCAAGCTCAGTTTGCAGCAATTGAAATAAGCTGAGGAAAAAAGAAGGGAATGGAAGGAGAAGAGAGAAACTTGTTCATTTTAAAAGAAGCTGAAAACATAGGATGACAGAGGATTATTCAAGACTATCCCTGGAATATCAGGATAATTGAGGGTCTGAAAAGATAGATTAAGGCCTGAACCCATTGATCATTTTCATTAAGAGGTGATATGATAGCCATGTTAAAATATTTGAAGGGATATCATATTGAGGAGAGAACAAGCTTGTTTTCCACTGCTCCAGAGACTAGGACCTGGAACAATGGATGCAAACTCCAGAAAAAGAGATTCCACCTCAGCATTAGGAGGAACTTCCTGACAGTAAGGGCTGTTTGACAGTAGAACATACTCTCTCGGAGTGTAGTGGAGTCTCCCTCCTTGGATGTCTTTAAGCAGAGACTGGATGGCCATCTGTTGGGGATGCTTTGATTGGGAGTTCCTGCATGGCAGGGGGGTTGGACTGGATGGTCCTTGTGGTTTCTTCCAGTTCTATGATTCTAAGGGTAATCACTGGGAACTTGGTAAATCAACACTTATGTAAATTCATTGTTTTAATGGGTCTAACCAAGGTGGGATGAACAATTACATTGAGATCTGAACCTACCTATCTTCACCCAAATTATCAGGCCTAGGGCTGATGCATACCATTTGCTAGATCCACCATCGAGCTTTAGTGATTCAATGTTGAGATTTTCCCAAAGTTAAAATGTGGTGCGATTTTGCCACTTTTTGTACAGGTTAATGTCAGGTTAATGCCAAAGTCGCCTGACACTGTCTGAAAACAATCCCACTCTTGCAGGATATTCATGAATTTAAACCCTGATTATCCATGGGATTTGGGCACTTCCCTCCTGTGTAATAAACTCCTATGCCTCCTTTCCCTTTCTGTGTGTCGTCATAAAAACATAACCCCAAGGAAGACTCTGATTAGTCCTGGCTTGCCTCCTGCTTCTTCAGTCTATCTCTCCCTTGGCCTGTGCTGTGTTTCCACAGGGCAAAATTAGCCTATCTGCCTGGGAGTGTCCATGGTAATGCCAAAATAAATAAATAAATAAAAGATGCTGCTAGCACCTTAAAGACATGCAATTTTGTTTTTCTTGGCTAGTACTCCACTTGCATCTGAAGAAGTGACATCCGGTCCACAAAATCATATGCCAAAAAAAAGCTTGTTGTGGTTTCCAACTTATGGCAAACCTACTATGTGGTTTACTTTGCAAGATTTGTTCAGATGGTCTTTGCCATCTTCTTGAGGAAAAGAGAGTATGACTTGCCCAAGGTCACCCAGTGGGTTTCCATGGCTGAGCAGGGATTTGAACCCTGGGTTTCAGAGTTGTAGTCCAATGTGCAAACCACTACATCAAACTGGCTAGTCTTTAAGGAGCTACATGATGTTTTTGCTGCAACTGAGGGACAGTGAAAGATATGTTAGCTCTAGTGGTTTCAGTTTAGACATAAGCACTCCTACATAAAAAGAAAAAGACGTAATTGTAAGGACCAGAGCCAGACAGATTTTGCTCATGTGGCTTCCTCTCCCATCTAGGTACAAAAATCAGCCAGGCTGAGAGCTGTCTTTTTCTTCAACCTTGAAGATGGGACAATGTCATCTGCCACACCTGAAGGCAATTGCTGACTAAGCAGGTGCAGGCAGAGCTATGCAAAGCCCTTTCCTCCAACCCCCTGCTGCCACCTACCAGCTTCTATTGGCTTATGGCAATCACCTCACTTTGCCTAATGGTAGGAGTGGTCCTGGAAAGATTCAAGAGAATGTGGATTTGACAGATGTATTTTTCAAAATACAGCATCAAATACAGGTTTATGATCCATGGCAATGAAATAATCTACTTCTAAGTTACAGATCTAAAATAGCCATTGGATATCAGGAAATTGCATCTAATGGACATCTGCAAAAAAGGAAACAAAAAAGCTAATAAAACCCTTAATATCTAAACACTCTATTCACTGTTGCTTTTCTTTTACTGGATTATTAGAAGATATCTATTTTAATAAACAGCTGAATAGCCTTTCTTAGATGATTCCTTGTTTTTGCTACAGTGGCAAAATGCATCTTCTCTTTTGCACAAATGATTCATTCCCTAATTTGCTCTGTGGATAATACCTTGCTAAATGTTTTTCCCAACAGACCAAAATGAGGTGTTAATAGCAAAAGAGATTATCACTTTCAGACTTATACAATACAAAAGACAGTGTTGGGAGAAGGATACAGAACAAATGTGCAGTTTGTGAACAGTATAATTAAATACAGAATGATCATGGTAGATACAGAAATCATGCAGGTAATTTATCCAGTTCAGGATGGGGGAGGGGAGACTGAAATGTAATGAAAGGCATGCCTATCAACAGAAATGCTATGGAAACATAAGGCATAATCCACTGACAAGTTAATGAATCACAATGAATCAATGCTTCAGTACCCTAATTGACTGCATTCCCAATGCTCAATTACTCTTTCATTGAAAATTAGGTAGCACTGTTATAAAAGACAATATCTACACCAACAGCTACAGAAGATCCTCCTACAATAAACCAGCTGCAGGCACATAACTACCATTTGTAATAAGTGCATCAAATGAGCCCTTCATTCCTTGGCCAGCTTTGTACAAATTGATTTTTTTTTTTCATTTAGGGCAGGGGTGGGCAAAGTGTAGTCCAGAGGCCACATACATCTCCTAAAGTTGGTTTTGTGGCCTCAAGGACTTCCCTGGGATCAACAAAATTTGGGCTCCAGAGTGTCGTCTGGAGTGAGTGAAGGGCATTTCCAGCACGTTTGGATGCCCTCTGGTGTCAAAACCATTTCTCCCCAAATGGCCTCTAGGAGATGGGGGGCATCTGACCATGTTTTTACCCCCCTGGCCAACCTAGGCCCCAGAGAAGACTTTTTGAAAGAAGAAGTGGCTTCCACTCACTTCCTGGTGCTTTTTAAAAAAAGTCCTAAAATGGTCCAGAAAAGCCCAAAAAGATGGTGAAAATGATCTTATGTCCCAAGAGAATTTTTTTGGGGGGGAGGGACATTTTATTTTATTTTTTGGAGGTGGATGCAGCTCCATGGTTTCCTCGGGGACCATTGCAGCCCCTAAGACTGCCATAGTTTGGTAGGGGAAAAGTTGGGATTTTGAGCAGAAAATCTGAATATTCACACATGTGTGTGGACTGCATTCCATAGTGATGTCAATGCAAGGCACATGGGGAGAAGGGGAAAAAGCCAGAACTCCCATGCTGTGTAGCCATGCCTATTGTGATTTATCAGTCTAGGGTGGATTTGAATGGGAGCACTGTGTGGCCAGTGTCCTCAAACACATCTCAGTTTGTGTGTCATGAGGACGAGTGTGTGATTGCTATGCATCATGGTAACCCAGAGATAATCTGGGTTTTCCTGTAAGTGTAGAACACCTTCAATGGGGAGCTGGGAGACAAGAGAAGGTGGATCTTGTTCTTTCCACTAGGCTTAGGCAAAAGCAAACTGCTGCAACCTGTGGCAGCTTGTCTGTTCTTCCTTATTCATAACTTTTGTCATCTTAACCATACTCTGATGTTGCTTGAGCACACATGCCCTGGTTTTAACAGTGAAATGAAAACTGTGATGGTATGAACAGATTTTGCTTCCTTGAAAAAGGAAATGGCTTAGGAGTAACAGAAACACCTTCAAAAAATCTTCAGGTTTGAACAGAGAACAAAGGAAGTTTGGCAGCTGTTCAACACCTAATGGGCCTGCTGATTTTCTGCAGATGGTAGCATAAGTCTACCTTTTTAGTACTGAAAACACAACTTCCTTATGAGTTAAGTGAAGATGTTACCATTCCTCCAGAAAGGCAACTTTGAGAAAAATGAAATTACTCAGGAATTGCTTCATACTCTTGTAAGGCTTTTGGAACAAGTTTCAAAGAAGAGCAGGCCTCAGATAACTTGTAAAATTACAGCTACACACTCCAGTGCAAATTATAGTATGCGAAAATTCAAGGAGTGTGTATAATTTTTATATCTGTATATATTACCCTCTCCCTCCTTCATTAAAAATAAATAGAATTTTTATTACTCAGCTAGCCTGCCATCTGAAAACATAAATTACTTCAGAGAACTGCAGAGGCTTCCACCACCCCCACCTTGTACTCCCCAGATGTAATGTTCCACTCAGATTGATAAGTGACAGTAAATCATAGCTACAGTTGACACTGGTTAGAAACAATACAGTTCTGACAAGTCTGAGATGCCATTCTTCTCTTTTTGTCAATAGAATTGTTGTCACTCAAAAAAAAAAAAAAGACAGTAAAAACCCATGGAGTGGCTCATTGATCTTCTAATTTATGACTGGCACACTGGAAAATGTAGCAATTAGACATGTTTAGTGTCAATCTATTATTAATTGGAAATCAAAATCACCTTGCCTGAAACCCAAAGGGACAGGCAGGAGTAGATGTAGTTCCATAAAGCTCAACACTTTGGCAGGAGTCAAGAAGCAGGTTTCCAGAGTATTTAGTATATAATTCCCCAAGTGGGAAAATTAGTGTGTGCCCTTTCAACATTTTTTTTTATTAAAATATCACTCTACTTCACTTGATTATCTCTTCTACCTGTCTGGAGGTCAATCAGAGCTGTTTAAATTAGAAAATGAAACATCCAAGAAAAAAAGGGCTTTACCACGCATTTGGGTGGGTTTGCATGCTCAGTAAAATACAATTGAGTTATAGTAGGCAATGCTCTGTGCACTTCCATTAATGGTTTGTATGAATCCTAAATGCCCTTTCTAGATGAGTCTTTGCTGGCATTGTCCTTGTAGTCTCCTGGGGCTAGTGCTGTGAATGAGGAAGAAGAAAGACAACAGTGCTGAAAATTATGCTGCAGCAGCAAATATGTGTCAAGTTTTTCAGAGAAGCCAGGCCTGTGGTTGTTGCTTCTGCTCTCCTCCCCTGACCCCATTGATCTTTCTGATGACTAGAAAGACTAACATGGCTTCTGCAGAAGGGAGACATCCTGTGCCTAAGAGCAGTGTGAGCAGCCTGAGCTGAGAGTGATCAAGGAGGTGGAAAAGAAATGCTTCAGCACCACAACTAAATTCTCCCCTCTCCCCCGTGAAGCTGTTTAATGAGTTTCTTCACACTCAGAATTCCCACCCACCCTGTATTTTATTATCTTTGGCAAAAAAAAAAAAATCTTTACAATATTGTCAGATGGTATGTATATTTGCAATAAAAAGAACCAAAGTGATAATGTAGTGTTTTAAAGGTAATAATGGGAAGCACAGGCATGCACAAACACATATACACACATAACAGATCCTAGACAGATGCTTACTGCTGGCTGCAGAGATAAATTAAACATGCGATATTATCCCCAGAAAAGCATCCAAGCCAATTAAACTGAAAAATGCACCCCTCTAAGACCTATACTTTATCTCTTGTCTGATTGCTGTCATTGCTATGGCAAGAGTCCAAAAGAAACATAGCCCAAATAATTGTGAGCTACAATCACAGCTTTGTCTGACTGTGCTTTGAGTAATTGCTATTTACAACCTGAACAGCCGTCAAGCAAGTACATGATGCTTTATCCAAACATAAAGCTAGGTCACTGACCTTAGTATTATACAGATACCATATAACACTGGTCTTAAAGGAATTGCACAGGTTGCCAATATGCTTCTGGTCTGAATTCAAGATGCTGATGATGACATTTACAACCCTGAATGGCTTGGGACCTTGAAACTTGAGGAAGCACCTTCCCTATAACTTGCCCAGGAACTGAGTCTTCTGAGAGGACCATCTTCTGTCTTCCATCAGTGGAGGAGATATTCTCCATGGGAAGATGTCAGAAAGGGCCTCCTCAGCGATGGTACAATTGTAGATAACCTGATATGCACAGATGCTGGTTTCATTCAAGTAAAAATATGGCTTTTTATTAAAGCATATGGGGTCTAATTGATTTATTCCAAAATATGAATGTGGTCTTAAACTGTTTCAGCTTTTTAAACCTATTTTAATTTGATAAATTATTTAATATGTTTTTAGTCTGATGATGATGATAGCTTTTGAATTATTTAAACTATTTAATAGATTTTACTTGTATCTCGCCTTGAAATTCTGGGATATAGGATAGGATTTAAATATTACAATAAAATAAAAATAGAAAGGCAAACTGTCCATGCTTCCATTCTGAGTTTAGGAGGTTTACATTTTGTACTACAAGTCCCAACATTCCCATCCAACATGGCTCCTGGAGGATTCTGTGAGTGGCAGTCCAACCAGTCCTCAGCTCTGCTTCCACTGCTGTTAGATTCAAACTCAAGAGGCCATGAATTCACCATGGGATGACACAGGGTTTGCCATCTTGGCCTCAAGAATAAAATGTCTTGGGCCAG